AGTTCATGATTTAAGAAGGAGGAGAGAGAGAGAGAGAGAGAGAGAGAGAGAGAGAGAGAGAGAAGCATCGATATGAGAGAGACACATCAATTGCTTCTTTCCTGTGGACCCCTGACTGGCACAGGGATCGAACCTGCAACCCAGATCCATGCCCTTGACCAGGACTGGAACTGCAGACCCTCTGGTCCTTGGACCAAGACTCTGACCACTGAAACACCAGGACAATTTTAACATATAATTTTTGATTATGTAAAACCCACAGTATATTCTATGCTCACATGTTTTGTTTGACTGGTTAAACATCCGATTCAATAATAGGCAGAAAGTCACACTGTTATGTCCATTTCTGTTTATCGCTGTATTGGCAAGTAGTCCAATCCCACGACGGTGAAGAATTATTGTCTTGGTACAAGTGTAAGTGATGACATAGTTGCGTTAACATCTTTGGGGGAAGATTAAGTTGAAAAGGAGGCTAACATATTGCCTTCATGTCCTTCGAAATACAGTGGGAAAGAGCAGGAAATGCCGAAGACTGGAAGCTTTGAGCAAAGAGCAGTAGGTGGGACTGGCCACATATTTGGGGCCACAGGGCTTCCTCATTCACATATTGGGAACTCCACTGTCCCTTCCCAACACGTGTTTATACTCAATATTTTGTCATTTTTTAAGTCCGTGTTACGATAGCTAGGCCCCTGATTAGAATGTAATACCTCCTTATGACCAACTGTTGCCAACATGGGTGTGACACAGTTTGGTTTTGACATGTTTGTGAAGTGACTTTAAGGTGAAGATGGAGACAAGCATTTTTTATCCTTTCCTCTGAAGTTAGAGTCTCAAAACACCCCCTCAGTTGTGGAGAAGCTTTTAGGAAGTTGGGAGGGTGGTGGGGGAGCAGGGAGGGGAGAGATGGCATCTACTTTCTGGCCAGAGACTTTTCATGAACAGAACACACAGCATGTTGGTTTGTCACGTTTTAATGAGATGCTTATGAGAAGTGGTCTGTGGGTCTCAGATTACAATGACATCTCCCACATGGCATTTAACAGGAATTGTGACTAATGCATACAAGTGAGTTACAGCCTACTAGAAAAATAAATTGAGAAGAATCAGATTAATATCAAAACATTCTGAAAGAAGGCGCATATTTTAATGTGAACACTGCCACACAGCTCTCATTTTATGCACAGGTGGGATACTCCATTTTTCCTTCTCGACATTGTACTCGGAATGCAGATGCTGGTGACACTTTAGTATACTGAGGTCGACACACAAATTCAACAAAATCATTTGATCTGGAATAAATTTTTTTCGCATCTGAATATTTCAACTGTATGTTATGTTCTTTCATGATTTCTTCTGATATTACACATGCATCTGAAGGTTAAAAAAAGGAACATAAAACTTTAAGTAGTACACAAATATTTTCCACAGAACTTTACAATTTCATATAGAATATTCTACACAGATCCATGAATTTATTCTCAAGCACTTTTCCAAAACAATTCATTGAAAATCTATCATGTTGCCATAACTCATTTTCAACTATCGATGACATAAAAATGAGGCACACTCTGGAATGTGTGGTCATTGCATGTTATAATCAACATTCACAATGTCAACTATGCTATCAAGGGCTTTCATTGAAAAATCCTCGAAGGGGGTGGAGGAGGTGGATGTGGGAGGAGGGGGCATAAATGGTGAAGGGGGAAAATAAATTAAAATAAAGAAAAAGAACTGTTTCTTGCTGTTGTTGCTCAAGAATTTTTCAGACTCTATACCCTCAGACATGACTATTTGCTTGTCAACAGAAGGGGTGATTGTCCATGCACGTTCTGTTGTAAACAGCAAACATGACATTCATTACACGGATTTCCCAGGGTCCACGAGGAAATTAAAGGACTTACCTAAGCATTTGGGTGGCTCAGACCACTGTCCATCACGGCACGTTATTCTCCTGTTTCCCTCAAGTTCATAGTAGGCCTGGCATTGATACTCCACTGAGGACCCGGGAGCGTAGACCGCTAATGGGTACGTGGTAATGTCTCCATTGTCAATAACAGGAGGGGGCCCACATTTTCCTTTGGGCTCTAAGGGAGGATATTGTTTGATTTATTGAGTGAGCAGTTGATTTTAAGGGAGCTGCGGAGTAGGTGGGAGCTACACTCACCTCCTCCCGGCCTAAACCGATTTACAGGAAACGATAGAGCAACAAACCTGAGTAACCAATGAAGACCAGCTGCACAGGAGTCTAGTAACCAAGTGCTTACAGAAGCTGCACAGAGACTGGGAGGGGAGAATGAGACACCTACCCTTGCACTCAGGTGGGTCTGTCCAATTCCCACTTAAGCATGTCACTTCTCCATTCCCTACGAGGACCAAAGAGTGTCTGCATTCATAACGTGCTGTGTCCCCATGTTGGTACCTGCTCATCTTGTTTGGAATAGAGGCATTTTGCACTGAGGGAGGGCTGCCACAGGAGAGATCTGAATAAAGAGGAATAAACATGGATCTCTAATGCAGCGATCATTAAGACACAAGTGAGAGGGAAAACCTTCACAAATTTACATGCAAGATTGAAAAAAAGATGATAAAGCAATTTTTTTTTTTGGTAAGAGTTAAGCTTTTTGTATCTTAATTTTATTTCCCAACCTCTCTCAAAAGTTAATAGAGATTTTTAGGCCAATGAAAATGATGATTATTCTGTGCAAAACGTTTTAGTTTGATGTAGTCCTATTTGTTTACTTATTTATTTTGTTTTGCTTGCTTGAGGAGATATATCAGAAAATAAATATTGCTTTGAGAAATGTCTAAGATTTTACTGCCCATGTTTTTTCTTCTAAAATTTTTGTGGTTTTTGAATCTTACATTTCCATTTTTAATCCATTTTAAGTTTATTCTTATGTAAGGCATAAGAAGGTGGTCCAATTTCATTTTTTTTTGCTTGTGTTTGTCCAATTATACCAGCACCATTATTAACCAATAGCACCCCAATAAATTCAATAAAAATCTAAGTACCCTTTTAAAAGAACAAAAAAAATGATGGTTTTTCTGAGCATTCTTTAAGTTTAGTAAAATAAACATACATTGTATAAAATCAAAGTGAATTTATAAACCTAAGGAACTCATAATAAACATACTATTTTGCAGCCAAATGTGGTTTGCAAACATCATGTTTTTGAATTGGGATTTCAGGCCCTTCGGAAATGAGGGTTCTTCGAGAATAAGTCAGGTATTCACATGCTTTGAGGAATATCGCATGGCTAAAGAAGATGATTACTTAAGATATCCACACAGAAATTGAGGAAAAATAAGAGTACAATATATTTACAGTTTCCTAAAAATACTTTCATAATGTGAGTGCTTAAGGGCACTGCAGTGAGCACTGTGCAGGTCACTGGGGAGACTCGGGTGGATACAAAGTAATAAGAGGCTGAAGCTACGGTTCCCCACAAAAGTGGGCACAGAGCCCGCTGGGAATTGCTAC